CTTTGCACTGTTTGTTTTCAAAGGACTGTTTGGACCTTTCTGAACATGTGCAGCAAATGGACTGATCCAATATGGTGGACACTGAAGGAGGGGCTTAGACAAACTTAATATTATAAGCATTCTGATGGCATTTTAGCAAAAATATTAACCATACATGTAAACAAAGTTTTAGGCAACTGCCTAGTGTTGCCTAATGGTAAATCTACCCCTGAGAATAGAATAGAAACTCCCTTTATTGCTCCACAATGGGGAAATTCAGGTGTTTACAGCAGCAAAATGATTATAGAGAAAATGGTCACTCACATGTTGACGTTAGAAAGGTGTATAAAAATAAGACAATAGTGAACAGTTCAGAAATAAACAAATGAAATAATGTACTGTAAAGTGTTTTAAAAATACAAAAACTGTGCACCTGGAGAATAAATAACCAATATACAGCTATGGACATTTTTATATTAATGGATATTTGAAAATAGCAACAACATCAGAGATGTGCAAAATGACAGAAGCATGTAATTTAACTGACAAAGATTTAAAAAAAAGGCAGAGTCAGCATGAATTTAACATCTAATTGAGGTTGTTGGGAACCGTGGTGGTTATAGAGTCTTATAGCTGCTGAGAGGAAGGATCTGTGATGACGCTCCCTGGGGCATTTAGGGTGCAGGAGTCTGTCACTGAAGAAGCTCTTCAGTTTTGCTAAATGACATATTACATTCAAACATTTTGGTTGTGTTTGAACTTTTTCTAAATAATATTTGTTTACATAAATATGGATTTATTGTAGATTTTCTTTAATCCGGCAGTTCATATTTTAACTCCTTGCAGATTAGAGATAAAGTTAAACAATTTGCAGATAGCTGTTTTATTTTGTTCCTTCCACTTTCTGAAATGATAGTGTTCACTGGCAGCAAAACTGCCAGATGGTGGTTCTATCACCATGCTTTATCCTGAGTGCAGTCTTCTTGTGTTTCCTTTAATCCTGAAAATCCACTTCTTGTCCTTGTTGCCAGTGATCTCAATAGGGACCCTCACAGAACATTCAGCTAGTTCATGTAGGTAGCAGTAAATTTCAATCTGGCTGATTTTGAAGCAGAGGATTCCTTCTTGATAAGCTCCCACTCAAATGATTTAATATAAACTTGGCTTCACTGGGACACTGTTGTACCCGGATCTTAAGGTTTATGTTTGGTTTGAATAATGATGTTTCATGGATTGTTGCTAAGAGAGCTGTGTGGTCCGGGTTGACTTCCAAAACTACATTTATCCAATAAGTATGACTGAGCCTGTGGGGATTGCAGGAAATCCAAAGTCTATATCAAACTTGAATTTTAGAAATACAGTCCTTGATATTATTTGTTATGAATAAAATGTTTTACTAATAAAAATCCTGGACACTCTTCCTTGATAAAAATGTATGTGTGAGCTGAAAACTCACATGTAGATTATGCTCAAAGAAATGTAAAAATTGCAAGAGTTTTAAAAATAAGTTAGAGTTGAAAGGTTTTTAGATTTAAAATTGGATCTTTTTTGCTTGCTCTTCCTTCTCAGTCTTTGATTGAATCCAGTAGAAATATGTATAATGTTGTTAGGATTTGGTGTTGGTTTGAAATGCAGAGGCAGGTAGGCAGAGGTGAATTTAGGTGGGTTTAATGAGGTTCACAGGAACTGCGGCAGGAATAAAAAAATCCAACAAAAATAACAAACGAACCAGAACCAAGGAGACATCAGGGGAAAACCAAACTCTAGGAGCCAGGGAGAGACGAGGTAAGAAGACAGACGTTAGACGAGGATCCAGCAAACAGGTACTGAAGAGGGAGGGCTTTTAAAGGGAACAGAGACAAAGAGAGGGCTAATGAGATGATTGAAAACAGGTAAGGACAGAGCAGAAAACAGAGCTAGGGAAAGAGGGCAGCAGAGGACAACAAATGGAAAACCAGGAAGACAGGAACTAACAAGAAAATAATAATTAAACACTAAGACAAGAAGCAAAGTAAAGCTGAACACTCTAAATAAACATAACAAAACCAAGACTGTGACAAATGTGTGCAGTTAAACTATGAACCAATAAATTAACAACTGAAGGACAAGTAAGTATGTAAAAAAAGTAGATATTTTTCATGTTTTCTAGTCTTCAGACTTACATGTGTGCATTTTTGTTCTCTATTTGTTCACATTCCTGCACAGAATGATCATCTTGACATAAAATATACAAGAAAGCACCGGAAGTCTCAAATGTTCCAAAGAAAAAAAAAGAAAAAAAAAATTAAGAAAATGTTTGGAAACACCTTATAGGAATAATAGAAATATGTGTAAAGGAATTAGTGTGATCAAATAGATTCAAGGTGCTGTATGTTTGTGAGGTTTTACATGTTTTGTTTTATTTGATTGTTTGTATTCTACATATTTAATGAGAGAAAAATGTTTTCATATTCATTTTTTTCATAACATGACCAAAAGTTAAGACTGTCCATCAGGATGCAAAACGTCTCAAAGTAAATTATGAAAACATAGAAAGGAGACCAACAAATCTCAGACAGACAGTAAAATACCACTGAACATGTATCACTGGATTACAACCATCACCACAGGAATTTCAATGCTAAAGCACCACAGCTACATTTATGTGGTCCGGTGACAAGGGATGTTTTTTTTTTTTTTAACAAAAAGGTTAGAGTACAAAGTTTCTGTTCCATATACAAGGATGTCGTCGTTTTCAAAACAAATAGATATACATTTATTTACATATATGCAAATATATTAGCATTCATATGAGAAATTAATTATATCATCATGCAATATTCCTTCAAACTAGTGCTTTTAGCAGGAGATGAAATCTCAGAATCAAGTGATAGATCACTCAGTTATGGAGTTATATCAGTTTTCATGCATTAAAGCCAAATATATACAGCTGCCAGGATAACCTTTTAAATACTGCAAGCTGTGTCTCATTCGCCATAATGATTGTACAGCAATTTGAATGCAAAGTCCTTGTTGTTTAAAAGTACAATTTAGCTGGGAGTTTCTATAGTAAACTGAACATTCATAATCACATACATCTGGTTTCATTTTAGGGGCTTTTAACCCTGCTGAACTTGTTGAATCATCCATAACACATTTCAATACATAAGGGGAAAACAGAGACTTAGCAGGTGATTATCGTCATAGCAATACCAACAGGCTGAGCATATGGGCGTTTTCTCTCTTGTGGTTTTTGTGTTTATTGATGCGAGTCTGTTTGGGTCAGAAATTATATATTCTTTTGTATTTCTTTCTTTGTTTTTGTTTTTTCTAATGGCTTGCTATTTGTGATGACTTACCAACCCAGAAATGTTAATTACTTGCTTCTCATTTCCTGTTTCTTGAACTCTATGCTACAGACAGACACAGAGGAAGTGACTTAAACAGTTTTTTTTTTTTTAAATAAAAAAAAAAGATCCAATACTTTCTAATGTATATCATAATTCATGACTGGTGTAAAGTGGTTGCCCCAGCAGCCAGTTCAAGCAGCTTTTTTTTTTTTTTTATCTCCCCTCTTCAGTGTCTGCATCCCAAGGTCAGCCACAGCCAGGCACAAAAGTCTCAGTCATCTGCCAAGCAGTGAAGGCGGTGGGTATTTCCAAACCCAGCGCAGCCGTCTGTGCCCTAGCAGGAGTAAAGAGAAGAGACCACACAGCTGTTGGGCTCAGTCCAAACAACAGCTGTGCATCACCCAGTTTAACAAAAATACTTAGGCCACACTTCACACAAACAGATCAGACAAATTTTTTACAAGTTTTGAAATGACAATTAAGGTGCATTGATTTTCTTTCCAAATGGCAGCGATGTACTTTAATCATAATAAATTGTTTGAAATGCAATAGGTTTTTCTTTAGAACATGGGAAAACAATTTACATCAGTTTGGCCCCAGCACAAACAGATGAACCAACACTAGAGCCGTAGCCAGAAAAGAAATACAGTCCATGCAATCCCAGGTTGGAGAGTAAAAAAAATAAAAAGTTAAATGATCAATCAATGATTACATCAGATGTTAAACAAACATTATATAAAAATACACACTACCATTTCTATTCTCGCTATCAGAATTTAAATCATATTGAGCATCTTTAAGCAACAGTTAGGATTAGCAAACTTCTTTCTATGTAATAAAAAGAAATGAAAAAAATCCAGTCATCAAGCAGACGATGCACGGCTGAATAAATAGAAAAGTTGTATTTTTTCACTGCATCAGATTTTCTCACATTGAATGTAGGCATCTGTCGTCCTTTTAAAACGTTTTTTTTTTTTTTTTCCTTTAGTCAGATCATGACAGATTAATTAATGTTTTCACTCCAGGATGAACACTAACATTCCTAATGTTGTCTGCAAAAACAACATAATAGGTTCAGGTCGGCTGCAAGTTGTTTTCTTAATTTGGAATAAATGCTATCTGCTTCTGGATTTAGCGTTTCTTGTGCTGTAGATTTGAAAGATTTAACTTTTTTTTTTTAATCTGACTTTTTATAGTTTTGTAGAACTGTTGTAAATTGAAGAGGATTACTGAAAATCAGCTCAGCCGCAAAAAAACAGCAACAGTGATTTGATGCCCTGATTTTTTCTAAAATATGTTTGGTTTCTAACCCACCAAATAAAAGTGGTGGATTTTACTGGAGTGTGAAAAGACTGCTATTAAGACAATTAAACAATGGCTTAGTGACAACACAAACAACCTCATTAGTTAGTATTTTTTATTCTTTTAACAATCAATTTATATAATTGTCATAACATTTCACCATGTATTTAAAAAGATTATCAAAATTGTTGTATTTGTATGTTTTGCTTATTATTTAAGCCGATTGCCTTTAAACACGAATCTCATCCTGGAAACAACAGGGAAATAATTAGATAAATGTCTCCCTCTGCTGGCTATTAAGCGACATTACATCAACATTGAAACTCAAGGACGAAATAAAACCGCGCCTCCTTTTATTTCATTGGTTAGAAAAATACTTCCTGTTAGCTGATTGGACGTCAACACTGTTACGTATGAGGAAATGCACCTTAGAAAAAACGGGACATCGGGGACAAACGTGGGTAAACAATTTAGTAGTTTCATCATTGTGTCATCATACCGCTCTGTTCTAGTGTAACGTAAATCATTTTATCCAATATTACTGTGAGTTTTAAGTGTGTCGTTAACATATATGACCGCTTCCTCGTGGACAAATATGCTTCCAATTAGCTGAAAATGCTAACTTGGGTCCCAGCTGCCAAAAGCGGTCCAGTTCTTTACATTCTAGATCTAGCCTCAGTTTTATATTATATTTATCTATATATTTATCTATATATATATCTATATATCTATTTATCTATATATATATCTATATATTTATATTTATCCTTTAAAAGGAACATAGACGAAACGTAAATTTTCTAATATTGAGAGTAAAAGGAGAAAGTTGTATCATGTTACCTTGTTGGTGACAAAAAGCAGTAATGGAACAAGTTGTTAAATGATAAAGCTTATTATGTCACAGTACCCCTTGGTGGTTCTTATCTATTATTATTTATTATCTATTTTAACTGCATGTTTCCTTGTTTATTCAAAAACTAGGTGGATAATTTGTTCCAAAGCGTTTAAAATAAGATGTTCAAATTAAATTGACAACTAGTGTTGCACCGATGCCATTTTTCGGCCCCAATACCGATACCTGGCTGTGCAGCATCGGCCGATACTGATACCATACCAATACAGTCTGTTTGAAATTGATGTGTGTGTGTATGTATGAAGAACTGCATACTACTTGGATGTAAAATAATTGCCACCATCTTTGTCAAGCTGCTGGCTACCTTTGTGAAGCAGGAAAAAGACTAAAGGACAATTTCTGCTTCTGACGCATAGCCTTCACAACCGTCAAATCTGTCTCTGTGCGTGACCACGCCCCCACGCAGAGGTTCTGCAACCGTCGTCGTGCACCTAAACAAAATCCTGACTACGCATTAAACGGCCGCAAACCTCAAGCGGAAGTGCGCAGACAAAAAGCATCCTTTCCGGCTGTCTGTGTTGTTGTCCTTCTCGATTCAGTGCCAGGGCGCGCCATTTTTAAAAACCGAGGAACAATGGACAACTACGACGAAAGGTTAATCAGTCTTTTTGCTAACTCCATTAACAGAACCTTTTCCTCTTCGATGTCTAGCAACTCTAGATCCATCTCCGTTATATCTTGCAGATGCTCCATGGTTGTTTTGGAAAATGAACACTCCCGCTGGCGCCGCCCAAGTTCTCGCGAGTTCTCGAATAGGCTTCCCCTTTGGCGGGAAAACTGCTGTGTGTTCCTAGAAATTTCAGACCGACAGTGCAGAATCATACCAACAAAAATGGTTCTCGACCAGACCCAAGCGACATTTGATGTGTGCGGTTGCAGATGTATAATCTGCCCTTAAAACAAAGTGAATCCAGTAGAACTTTTTATTGCCTACCTGGAATGGGTGACAATAGTTGAATAAACTTTTGGCTCTTAAAATGGTATCGGTGCCCTATTTCTTGATACTCCTCGATACTGATACCACCATTTTAGTGCTGGATCAGGGCTCCATCCGATACTGGTATAGGTATGGATGCAACACTATTGACAACTATTCATTCAATTCAATTATTGCCACTCCGTTTAAAAACAAATTGATATGATATTAAAGAGCCACCATTGGATTTGTTTGTTTGGTTGGTTTTAAGGGTAATACCAGTTATTTTAAAATCAGTCTTATGATCCCTGATGTGCGGGGCCGCTTCTTTGAAGCTGATCCCTGCAGTTTCTTCCTCCATCTACATAATAAAATTGATGCAATCAAAACAAATCTAACACAAGTCTCAATTTTAACACCAGGAAAGCATTAATTTATAATATTTACAAATAAAATCAAACATCCCATCTGATTAAAATCTCCTTCTTTATTTGAAAACTTTTTTTTTTGTTTGAAAACCTTTTTTTTTTTTTTTTATATATAACCTGTAAGTAATGTTTCGTATTTTAAACATGATCAAACAAAGGTCATATTCAGTGGTAGTTTAAGTCAGTAGTTTTAAGTATTTTTTTATGTTTCATCAAAACAATGAAATAAGTATGGAGCAAAAGCGTGTTAGGATTTTCCTTCTTACAGAAAAAAAACTAATCATCTGTAAACAGAAAATATTTTGAGTAGTGTGATATTTTTCACATATCACTTCTATACAATATAGAAAGTTTTAGGCAATAAATATGTAGAATAACGGTTTCCTATTTGTACATAGTTTTTGTATAACACTATACAGTATAACTCCTATGTGACATTGACATGTCAGCTATATGAATAGTTTGAGTGGGATTGCTCATCTTTGTATGTTTTTTTCTCTCAGTATTTTCATGCATAATGGCAGCTTCAAGAAAAGTGGGATCTCTGCGCCTGCCTCCACTGCCCTCGGTGAGCGAGCTGATAAAGCTGTACAACCTGCGAGCAGAGAAGCAGCTTTCCCAGAACTTTCTGCTCGACCTGAAGCTCACAGGTTAGTCTCTCTGCTGTATTTGCAACCTCTATTTTTTTTCTGCTGTCATTGTTCCCAGTAAGCAGTTATGCTACATTCAGGCCGCAAGCAGCAAGAGCAGCAAAAAAGCGTCTGCTGCTTTATTTTTGATGTTTGTACAAGTTTAGTTCTGACGCGCGGCTGAAGCATCTTTGCTGCTCTGGCTGCGCGGTAAAAAAGTGATGCGTGTTGGGCGGAGCTACACTATCAATTCTTTGCCTGTAACAATGGCAGCTATATTTGCTGTGATCAGTGGGTAAAAAGTAGTTTTAATATGTTTTTCAGTGAGAAAGTCCACCTTAAAACTTCATCCAGATTACCATCCTGCCTTCAAATATTATTTTGCTGTCAGAGCCGCTCAGACAACATAATGGCAGTGCTCTGTCAGTAGGAATCCCATTCAACAGCAGCCTCTGGCCCGGTCACCTCTTGGCGGTTTGCCACGGTGGCTGGAAGGCGTTTTTCATGTACGTAATCCAAACTGCAGGCACCAGGATAATAATAGCGAACATGTTTTTCTGGCAGATTTCAGCATTTTAAGTTAATTTAGGCGTAAATAAACTGTTTTAGAGGAGTGATCATAGTGATCTGTATCATCAGCGATGTGTCTGTCTCCCTGCCAGCTCCCGTATCAGCTTCTCTGATTGGGCGATGTGGCGCGTCAAGCAGCAAAAGTTAAATTTTCCAACTCCAGAAGCAGCTGCATTTGCAGCGCATTCCGTGTGTCAGTTCCTCAGATGCTCAAAATGCGCTGCAGGACCTTTTCCTGCGCCTTGATGCGCCTCAATCATTGACTTTCCATGTAAACTAGCTGCTCCTGTTGCCTTTGCTGCTTTAGGTGTGAATGTAGCATAATGTTTCTGTATGTTTCTCCCCCGGAATACCTGTTAGTCCATCTTTATTTTTGAGCACTTTTTATACCCAAAGGCGGATCACTGTTTCACATGAGATAAAAACTAGAGATAGTGAGAAACATTAATGGCAATGAACTGAAGAAACATCATTATACAAAAAAATATATATAACAACATATATATAAAAAAATATATATATATAAAGAAAAGCCAAAATTTAACGTAATGACGTAAATCTGCAGTTGTAGACATACAAACAAATTTAAATACGTATTCACGAGTTGATTTATTTCAAATGGTTATGAAATAATTATGGAATTATTTCTCCTTTTATGTCCTTGAGCTATTTTAGTGTGCCATGTTTTTTGGGGAGTAATTTAAAAGCTCTCCTAATGTGAGAGAAACGGCTCTTTTTTTCTGCAACCCTCGAGAGCTTAGGCGGTAATATGATTATAAGTGATGCAGTGCAGATCGGATCCTTTCGCCTGTCCTTTGGCAAGGTGATTGTTAGATTAATGTGTCTCTGCATCAGGGACAGGCCTCCCGGTATGAAACGCTATCAATCTCAGTGTAGATGCTGTAGAGACTCTGTTAAAGACATGTGATTAGATAGAGGATTGTGTTTGTATTTACAGGATCTGATTTAATGTGATTTGATGGTGTGTTTAAAGTCGTAGGGAAGCGGCTGTTCCAACCGTTGCAGTTCCAAATTCTCCCGAGTGGTGCACGACTTTACACGAGTGAATAAAGTGAATGTGACTGGACGATTATCAAGGGGCCAGGATTGTTGTGGCGGAAGGTTCGCAAGCCTATTTGATAGAGTCTTGGACCAGTTAGCAACTTAGTGCTAGCAGGTTCCCAATGGGAAATTCCATTGGGACCAAGTAGCACTAAATTGGTGATTTAGAAACGACACTGTCAAGGAACGCTATGGACAGCTGAAACATGCAAGAGGAGGAGAGTTTTGTGTCAGAGGTCGTGGATGATTGCCTCACAACGCTGCCAGTTCTGTTAGCTCTACGCCTGCTGAAGACACAGACCTCCATCCCCGTGAACACTGGGACGGAACTCAATGGGAAAGGAAATTATTCTTATTTCAACTTTTGCGTATATTAGCTGCGACAAATGAATCAAGATGCTATGATCCTATTGACAGATGACCGTTGATATATGATTGGCCGAATTTAGGTGTACAGGCTGACGTATAACTAACTGGCCTACAGAAGATAATGAAGAAAAGACAGGATTTTTTTTAAAAAACAGAAATGTTCTAACTTTTGGGACAATATCGTGTGATAAAGAGTACAGTTATATAAATGTTTAAGCCAGAATGATTTGAAATTTAAATATGACTTGCCTACGACTCTAAGAAAATGAGTTACGGAATCATCACCTTTTTATGTTTTCAGACAAGATAGTTCGTCAGGCGGGCAGTTTAAGGGGCGCCCATGTTTGTGAGGTGGGTCCCGGTCCTGGTGGTCTCACCCGCTCCATTCTCAATGCAGAAGCAGCGGATGTGTTAGTTGTGGAGAAAGATTCCCGTTTCATTCCTGGACTGAAGGTACCTTTAGCAACCAAACTGGATGTCTCTTTTTACCGAACTTTTTCTGTGGAGGTGGTTAAATATGTTTTTTTCCCCCCAGCTTTTGTCTGAGGTGGCACCAGGCCGGCTCCGGATTGTTCACGGTGACATACTCAACTACAGGATGGATCGAGGATTCCCAGCCAGTATCTCAAAGCCTTGGGAGGAAGGTAAGAGAGAGGAACAACAGCAGGTGCTACATCAGTCATAGCGAACTGTTTGTGATAAAAGTGTTTATTTGCTTCAAAGACCCACCAAACCTCCACATCATCGGGAATCTACCATTCAGCGTCTCAACGCCACTCATCATCAAGTGGCTGGAAAATATAGCTGACAGGACGGGGCCGTTCGCCTTCGGCCGCACACGACTCACCCTCACCTTCCAGAAAGAGGTGGCAGAGGTGGGTGAACTCATGCTGCTGATAAATAGGATAGTTATTAAATTTAAGATGCACCTGCATGAGAAGTTAAGGTTGGTTGTTTTGGTTCTTTTGCAATGGATTTGCACTTTTTTTGCTTTTAATACTGGAGGAAAGTAGAGATTGCTGTGTCTTACCTTACCTTGGTTTCCAATTTCTCCAGAAAGTTCATCACAATTCTAAAATAAAGGAAAAAAAAGATTGAGATTGCCTTAATTAATCACAAACATGGTCAAAGTTTGCATTTGTGGGTGCTGCTAAAACTGCTGAAATGAATGAAAGTTGTTCCCTCAGAGGGACTGAGATACCGCTGGTGTTTCAGTAAATCTTGTGCTGGCCGAGTGGTTTGGGCTTAGAGTAGTGATGGGTTAATGAGGCATCTTGAGGTTCGACACATTGCCAAACTGTATTAAAACTGCGTTGATACTGTCTCGCAGAATACTGACGCCTGCTGGACATTTACAGACACTACAAGCAGCTTATTTGACAGACTGAATTGATTTGATGTATTGTTTCATATCTATGTTTAAACTGAAAATATCTTTGATATTTTTAGATGCAGCTGATAAATAATGTAAACATGTAGCTTATCATGAAAATTTAGGGGAAAATTTGAATGAGGAAGTAATTATGACCCAGTTTTTATGCACTGCTTGTTATAAAAGTAAAATAATGAAAGAAGAGAAATTAGTCTGATATTTTTGCTTTACATCAGTCCATAATTTACAGAAACCTCTATTTTTATCACCCAGAGGTTAACAGCCAGTACCGGCAGTAAACAGAGAAGTCGTCTGTCCATCATGGCTCAGTATCTCTGCACCGTCCACAAGTGCTTCATCATCCCTGGGCGAGCATTTGTTCCCAAGCCAGAGGTAGGACATTTCATTTATCAGTTAACATACCCACCTTATTTGAAGTAATCCTCTCCTTTTTGCACACGCAAATGGAAAAGCAAATAACTAAGAAACTGTAAACCCAAGTTCCATGTGTGAAACATAATTTAAAGCTAAAACCATCTACTTTCTTAAAATATAAATAAGTATACTGTGACTAAACCACAGCATAAACTGCAGCTGTGAAAAACATGACTCATAGTTGTTTTTTAAATAGCAGTAACAAAGACATGCCTGACAATAGGCATGTGTCATTGTTTTACATTTATTCACAACACGTGTCATCTCAAGGCACTTTACAGTTCACCAGATCATCCAGTCAAATTGATTCAGAGTTTTCTATCAAAGGAAAACCAGTTGATTGCATCGACTCATTGACTCAAATGCAATTCCTCACGCTAAGCATGCTGGTAGCGACAGTGGAGAGGAAAAACTTGCTTTTAACAGGAAGAAACCTCCACCACAACCAGGCTCAGTGTGAGCGGCCATCTGCCGAGGCCAACTGGGGTTCAAGGAGACAGAAGCAGAGATATGCAACTGCAAAAGGTGACCCCGTCCAGGAAACACACAGCCAGGCAGACGAGCTCTGAGCTAACTACCATGTCAGAGGATGAAGAGAGCACATCCAGCCAGTCACAGTCAGAGAAACAGGGCTACACTGGAAAACAGACTGTAAACAAAGGTGTTGATGGCAGCAGCATAGTTGATATTTCTCTCCACAATGGTGTTACAGCCAAACAGGAACAGACGAGGCAAAGCTATTATGAGAAAAAGCAGAGAGAGCATAACATTAGAGATTGAACTAACAGATTCTGCAGAGTGGGAGAATCAAGATAGAATGAAGCAAAATTATGAAAAGGGGTCCCTATGTCCTCCAGAAGTCTAAGCCTATAGCAGCATAACTATAGAGATAGCTCATTATAACCTGAGCCACTCTAACTGTAAGCTTTATCTAAAGGGAAAGTTTTAGGCCTATGCTTAAAAGTAGACAGGGTGTCTGCCTCACGGACTAAAACTGGTAGTTGGTTCCACAGGAGAGGGGCCTGATAACTAAAAGATCTGCCTCCCATTCTACTTTTAGAAATTCTAGGAACCATAAGTAAACCTGCAGATTGAGAGTGAAGTGCTCTGTTAGGGACATAAGGAACAATCATACCTCTGATATAAGATGGAGCTTGGCCATTTAAGGCTTTATATGTGAAAAGGAGAATTTTAAATTCTATTCTGGATTTAACAGGAAGCCAATGAAGAGAAACCAGGATAGGAGAGATATGATCTCTCTTTTTATTCTGCATCATGTCAACCTCAACTGCAGTAAATTTCAGACCTCTAGGTATAACAGTGTAAGAGCTATGGGATTTTTAACTCAGTGTCTCCAAACCTCTCCAAATGTATGGAGAGATATTTGTGCCATCGGTTTGAGCGCGCAGGAACCAATCCGAGCGCGCAGTGAGACAACACGCGCGCGCGCAAAACCGGTCTGGCGCGCGCTCAACTCTGAAAAACCCTCTCAACACACTGTTCTCGCGCTCAGTTTCATCTCTGCGCGTGCTCGAATCCGTCTCTGCTCGCGCTTGCTCTCCTGCTCTCTCTCCGCGCTCAACACCAGCTGTGCGCTCGGCTGTTTCTCCGCTCGCTCGACTCTCTGCGCTCGCAACTTCAGCAATGTATGTAAATGAACCATACCATCAGCCAATCACACTCAGCTTCTTTTCATCCAATGAAAGCATTCCTTCCTTCTTCTTCTTTTCTATCATGGCGGTTCGCAAGCAACTTTAAGGTGCATACCGCCACCTACTGTTCATGAGTGTGTAGCAACATTGTTTTACATCTATTAAATTCTATTTTTTAATTTTGCATTCTGAAGATAACTAAATAATGCTTTCCTTAATCTATAAACATCCTTTATATTTCCTTTATTTCCCAATAATCCTTTAAGACTCCATTCTTGGCCTGTCATTTCAACTACTCTTCTCAATTTTTCCCTTTCAGGTTCATATGTTTTACAGTTCATTAATATGTAAGCATTCGTTCCAAATACTACATCCGGTTAGATGAAAAAAAAAAATAAATAAATAAATAAAAACACAATCAGGAAAATCAAACTACTCTTACAGTTATTTTGTCAACATTCCTAAGATAGTACTATAAAATATCTTGAATTATCTCAAATAAACTTCAGTAAAACAGTTATTAGATCATTGCCTCATCCATCTCTTTTACCTGCTATTGACATGGATTTAAATTTGCTGTTTTAAAAGAAAAATAAGGAGGATATTTCAGGTTCAAGTATGGTTCAACAGTATATAGATAATGTTTTGGATCATATTGGCCTTACTCTTAGCTTTTGTGGCGGGTGTTTCTTCTTTTTGTTGTTTTTTATGGAGGTTGGCAAACAACAATTACCGCCACCAACTGAAAAATCCTGTTTATCAAATTATTCTTTTTAATATATATAATAAAGTATAACCCTCTTATTTAGAGTCCATCTGTAAAAGGTCTTCTAAATAATAATTGTTAAATTTCAGATCAGGTCTGCTGTCTGAATAATTGCGTTTAAATTAATATAACAGTCGCTGATCTAAAATCAGAGCAAACTAAACTTCTTAATGGAACGATTTCTTCAATCCATTGTAAGGCCAATATGATCCAAAACATTTCTCCTTTGTAGGCTGAATTCCATCACTGATTCTTTTACCCGATTTAAAAATAAATTATGAAACTAAAACAAAACACCATTCCTAATATTGGAATATTTTGAAGCATCCATAAAAAATTTAACATATCCATAATATTTTTTATCTATATATTGTTGAACCATACTGGAACCTGAAATATCCTCCTTATTTTTCTTTTAAAACATCAAATTTAAATCCATGTCAATAGCAGGTAAAAGAGATGGATGAGGCAATGATCTAATAACTGTTTTACTGAAGTTTATTTGAGATAATTCAAGATATTTTATAGTACTATCTTAGGAATGTTGACAAAATAACTGTAAGAGTTGTTTGATTTTCCTGATTGTGTTTTTATTTATTTATGTATTTTTTTTCATCTAACCGGATGTAGTATTTGGAACGAATGCTTACATATTAATGAACTGTAAAACATATGAACCTGAAAGGGAAAAATTGAGAAGAGTAGTTGAAATGACAGGCCAAGAATGGAGTCTTAAAGGATTATTGGGAAATAAAGGAAATATAAAGGATGTTTATAGATTAAGGAAAGCATTATTTAGTTATCTTCAGAATGCAAAATAAAAAAATAGAATTTAATAGCTGTAAAACAATGTTGCTACACACTCATGAACAGTAGGTGGCGGTATGCACCTTAAAGTTGCTTGCGATCCGCCATGATAGAAAAGAAGAAGAAGGAAGGAATGCTTTCATTGGATGAAAAGAAGCTGGGTGTGATTGGCTGATGGTATGGTTCATTTACATACATTGCTGAAGTTGCGAGCGCAGAGAGTCGAGCGAGCGGAGAAACAGCTGAGCGCACAGCTGGTGTTGAGCGCGGAGAGAGAGCAGGTCGAGCGAGCGCGAGCAGAGACGGATTCGAGCACGCGCAGAGATGAAACTGAGCGCGAGAACAGTGTGTTGAGAGGGTTTTTCAGAGTTGAGCGCGCGCCAGACCGGTTTTGCGCGCGCGCGTGTTGTCTCACTGCGCGCTCGGATTGGTTCCTGCGCGCTCAAACCGATGGCACAAATATCTCTCCATACAAATGTGCTAAATTATTCCAAATTGTGCTTATTGCTTTAACACAACAAATTTACCCCCCCAAAAAAAATCAAACTGAAGCATTTTTTCAATTTTTTCCTAACTTTTCATGTAATTTTCTAACAGTTACTAATGTGTCTGTGTGCCGTTTACAAAGGCAATCGGATGGATGTTAATGCTACGTTCAGACCCCAAGCAGCAGGAGCAGCAAAACCGCGCGTGCTGCTTCATTTTTGATGCTTGTGCAAGTTTAGTTCTGACGCGCTGCTGAAGCATCTCTGCTGCTCTAGCTGCGCGGGGGGAAAGTGGTTCTGATGCGGGTTGGGCGGAGCTACCCTATCATTTCTGATCATAGTGATCTGCATCAATATGATCACTTTTTCGACCGCGCAGCTAGAGCAGCAAGATGCTTCAGCCGTGCATCAGAAGTAAACTTGTGCAAGCATGAAAAATGAAGCAGCATCCACGTTTTTGCTTCTCTTGCTGCTTGCGGTGTGAAAGTAGCATTAGAGGTTAATCAGAAGAGGTCCGGTCTGTTTAACAGGCCAGCCAATCAAATGACGTCCTGTCAGCTCAAACATTTTTGGATTTCCTTTTTTTTCTGATGGACAGCAGTGCATTCTTGAGCTCATGCATAATTTGAAGGTGAAACTGAAGTAAAATGTCTTTTCTATCCCGGTTTGAGAGCTGGCAGCTGGCGGATTTCTCGCCTCCGGTGACACTTGGTTCTCCTCATCTGGTCCTACGTTCCCCTGTCAGAGCCCCTTATCTCGTCCCCATTACTCTCTCCTCCCTCTCCACTTTGTGCTTTTAGGCTTCATCCGGGTTTAAATCACTGTTTTCTGTCTCTGGACTCCTTCTGGGTTGTAATGATGCCTGGTGGGTATTTGAGATGTGGCACAACGTAATGAGAGCCTTGTTCTTTTTTTAGCGCCCAATATCTCCGTCTTTATCTTTCCACCCACGCAGATCTCTCATTGGGAGAAGAAAGACAATCCGGCTTATGTAACATGAGACTTTTTCTTTTAATCAGTGGGTGAGGAATTTTTTTTTCTACAACTAGGGAACCCATTAAGAAAATACAAATATTCATGTCAATGAATGAGAAGTTCCACTGAGATATTTGGAATAATAGAAAAAAAACCTTTGGAGGAGCTCATGGGGCTCTTCAATGACGTAGAAAAGACTTGGCACAAGTAAAACCATGTTATTATTTTCTTGGATTAAGAGGAAAGCTGTCAGATGGTCCCTCAAAGATGTGG